GTATAGGAAGTAATTGAAATTACTGAAGAATTCAAGACACCATTGACTCCAATAAAGCTAGGTATGTTATAATATGTACTATCACAATTGTCAAGTAGTGGGAGTGTAGACTGTACAGTGTATATACACATTATTAATTATTATTTTTATAGATATTAAAGATCTTGATATTGTCATTAAAGAATTAACATCAGATCAACACTTGCCTTGTTCTGTATGGCGTAGACTAGGTCTACAGTTAGGATTATATGATCCTAGACTAGTGGATATAGACACTGACTGTAGAGGACAATCAGAGGAATGTTTTCATGCTTGTATGTCTGCCTGGTTAAGAGGAGAAGATAAAGTGAGAGAGAAAGGAGGTCCCAGTTGGTCATCATTAGCTACAGCACTGGATACAATAGAAGAGAAACCTATTGCTAGTTATATTAGAGATGAATATTGTCAATAATTAGTTAGTGGATGATTGTCTATAGTATTTCATTTTGTTCTGTTTATTATTATTTTTGCTAATACTTGCTGATTCATTTGTTAATTAGTTGAGTTGTAAAAGCTGAGCTGTCATCATGTACTAATTTCCCTATCTCTATAATTAGAATTATCACTGATAGTATCAAACTATGTTTATTATTAGTAACATTGTTATTTGAATAGTTACTGTTAGTTTCAAACTATGTTTATTATTAGTAACATTGCTATTTGAATAGTTACTGTTAGTTTCAAACTATGTTTATTATTAATGTTGTTATTGGTATAGAGTTACTATGAACTATGAATTATGATACTATACACTAGTGGATATACCATATAGTGGGAATATTTGGTGGATCTTAATATTGGTGATTCTATGATTGCAATGTAGTGCGGGTGGTTTTTATATTAGCAAATTTGCAGCCATGTGCCATTGAGCACGTAAAGAATAAAGCAAAATGGCAGATTTTATATTAATTATTTTATCATTAATTTCACCAATTTTTCCAGCTGTACAGTAGACCAGGAGAATAAAAGAGATACATTAGTATAGAAGTACGTGTATGTCTTGACTAAGAGTACAATGTTTTACAGTAATTGTTATTATTATTATTGAGATATGAATATGAGAGGAGTTAAGTACAGACCCTATAGGTGGGTCTATATAATGGTGATTAGGAATTAGCAGTCATGAGTCATTGAGCATGTGAAGAATAAAACAAAATGGAGTGGATTTTATATCAGTGAATGCTAACTACAACTGCTGATCTGCCAATATTGATTCCTTGTCATATTCCAGCTGTATGGTAACTACTGTTATTACATGTGTGATCAGAATCAGTTCAAAAACTATCAAAAGGACATTGATATATAAATTGAGAAATTATTTTTTAGCCAATTCTTGTCAAAAGCATTCTCTCCCTCCCTCTCTCTCAGTTATGGTAGGTGTGTTTAGTGTATTGAATTCCTGATGTGTGGGTGGGTATCAATGAATCTAATTAACTGATCACAAGATGTCCTTAGAGGACAAGTGTTGGGTTGCGTTTTACATTAGAGATCATGAAGAAGCTGTTCGCTTACTACCATTAGTGAAGGAACTGAATAAAATTAAAAGAAGATATATATGGGATAATACTAGTTTACTTCATTTGTCTTCATTCAATGGCTGGTTAGATGTTACAAAAGATCTCATCACTAAATATCACTGTGACCCACACAAAGGAAATAGTTATGGTTGGACTTGTCTTCATTGGGCTGCAGGAGGTAATCATGTTGATGTGATGAGATATCTCATTGATGAGTGTCACTGTGATCCAAAGGTTCCTGATAAGGATGGACGCACTGTTCTTCACAGTGTAGCTAAACATGAATCACTTGATTTCATGAAGTACTTGATCAATCATCATCACTGTGATCCAATGGCTACTAACAATAATGGTGAGACTGTTCTTCACTGTGCTGCTAGACAAATTGATATTGTAAAGTATCTCATTAATGAGTGTCACTGTGATCCAATGGCTACTGACTCTTACAACAGGATAATTCTTCATCAAGCAGCTATTAGGAACTCACCTGATGTAATCAAATATCTAATCAATGAGTGGAACCATGATCCAATGGCTGTTGACAGGTGGGGGTGGACACCTCTTCACTGGGCTGCTTATTGGGGTAGTTCTGCAGCTGTTGAATATTTACTATCAACTGGTAAATGTGATCCATTGGCTAAAGACAATGATGGGTACACACCATTTAAACTAGCTAAGGAGAATGGTCACACTGATATTCTTTCTGTCTTGAAGAAGTTTGGTGGTATAAAATCATCTCATCCAATTGATTCTTATGTTAACGTCCTCCTTGTGGGTAATCCTGGAGCTGGTAAAAGTACTCTTAGTCATGTCATCAATGACACAGCTAGTTTTACTCTTCTTGGTTCCTTTAGAAATGTTGGAGGGGTAGTGCCCTGTACTGCTGGCATCATTCCTTATAAACTACGACACAGGACACTGGGTAACATCATTCTTCATGATTTTGCTGGTCATTCCGAATACTACTCTAGTCACAGTGCTGTCATTGAGAATCTGTTACAAGGTTCTGGTGGTGTGTTCCTCATAGTAGTCAATATATTGGAGAAGGAACCAGTCAAACAGCTTCATCAGTGGCTAACAGTTGTCACAAATGAAGCACACAAAGCTCTTAATCAATGCCATGTTATTGTAATAGTCAGTCATGTGGATGAGATAAGTAATCCTGTTGAAAGGAGAAGGAGAAAGGAAGAAATACACGAGATTATTGTAAGGGAGAGGTGTGATAGTGTCTTCTTAGATTGTCGTAAGCTTGGTGGGAGTGGTGTGGATTCCTTCTTTAATAAGTTGTGTAGTGCCTGTGAGTCCATTCGTAGTACAAGTGGAAGGAATTTGAGTCTTTATTGTCACATGATGTATGGTCTACTGGAGGAAATGAAAGAGAATATACTGACCCTCTCTCATGTAATGTCTGCTGGTAAGAACAATGATGATTACTTTATACCAGATAAGAGAGAAGACGTCTTGGATGTTCTTCATTCGTTGCACTCAACTGGTTTGATCAGTGTTCTTAAAAGTGAAGACAAGGTATGGGTTGTTGTGAATAAGGGTATACTACTAACTGAGGTGGATGGGATTCTCTTTGCTCCAGAGACATTTAAAGAACATGTTGACATTGCTAGCAATACTGGTATTGTTAGTGTGTCTGGTCTGACTAGACACTTCCCTAAATATGATCCTGACATGTTGATTTGTTTCCTGAAGAACATGGAACTCTGTCAAGAAATTAATCCATCATTCCTAAGAATGACAAACCTCCATCAGTTAGCAGTGGAAGAGGAGGAGGAGGGAGGGAGAGAAAGAAGAGGAGAAAGGTTGTTGCACTTTCCATGTCTTTTGTCTACCGATAGACCTGATGAGATGACTAGTGAAGTGTACCAGTTTGGTTGGTGTCTACAGTGTACTAGTAAACATCATTTCTTTCCTCCTCGATACTTCCACGTCCTCTCATTACGTCTTGCTTATAAAATGGCTCTACCTCAAGAAGATGATGAGTTAAA